GGCTACAAGGCTCGATAAACTTTATCTGTTTTCAAAACTTAAGTCAACACTGTTGGTATACGAGATAAACTACACAGTCTAATAAACAGGGTAAAGGACAAACATAAATAACATACCGAACAGTAATAGGGGATAGGAAAAATCAGTCAACAAGGCGAATATCGTTTTATAATGAACATAATATTGTGATTGATGAACAAACAAGGCACAATCATACAAGGTCAAAGAAATTTATTGTGGTGGTGGACGTTTCATGTTATCATTGGTGGGTTCGTTTATAGATCATACTTTACAAAGGAATCTTTCACGTACTTTGACAGCATCATCGATGAACACGGAGGATGTGATGCAGATATGAAGGCACGGATTGGCAAAGTTAGGGTAGCATCCCCACAGTTGAATAACCTATGCAACTCAAAACAACTATCAACAACTATCAAAGTCACAATCTAAAATACGAACATCAAGACAGTTTTACTTTGAGGAGCTGAAACTTCGAGAGCTACCATAATCATGACCAAAAGTGTACAGGTATTCATAAATAGTTGTCTACGCAAGATACTCAGTGTGCGTTGACCGGACACCATCAACAACAGCTTTCTGTAAGAGAGAACAAACCAGCTTCCAACCAAAGATGAAATTAGGAAAAGACTTTGGAAGTTGATAGAACATACATCACGAAAATCACCAAGGTGCAACACAAGACAAGCGCTAATTTGGAATCCTAAGGAAAACCGAAAAGAGGAAGATCAAAGAACATACTGCGTCGAGAATGGGAAGGAGACGTGATAAGGATGAGTAGCAACTGGACACAACTGGAAATTATAGCTCAGGACAGAGTTAGATGAATAGTGCTGGTGGGCGACCTATGCTCCTCTACGAGTGGTTACAGTTATACGGAAGTAAATTAAATGTCTCTTGGGGTATATGGTCGATATTATCTCCTATCTCTGCTACCATCGATCAGGAACATGTCAACCACACAAGTATAGTGCTCAGCCTGTTATCATGTTCTCCATAATATAAACAATGACCCCACCACAGTAAACCATATTTATAGTTGTTTGACAGTAACTGGCAAAGTAAGAATCTATAATAACACTAACCGAAGTAAAGATTGGTTACCAGGCTTTAAAAAAATGTGACAGAGGCAGTGGTGTAGATTTTTTCAACTTCATGGCAAGACAATAACGTGGCAATAGTGATTAAAAATTACGGAAATGAATATCGTAAATACAGTCTTGCCACGTAGTTTGCCAGAGATTATTCTGTGTTTTTCTTTCTACTGGAATTTTTGTCTGCTAACAGTCGACCCTTCCAAGTTACTTAAGAGTCAAAACCAAGATTCTGTCCCAGAGAAATAACTCAATCTTCAGGTTAGATAACTGCTTACTCATTGTGACGTGAACTTGAGTATAAGGGCCCTATTGGTTACGAGGGGGTATGGTTCTACTTATGCTCTCTGTGAATTTGAGGGGCGAAAACAAACTGGGTAATAGTGGAAGTTGTTGAGGAGTAACCCTGAGAGTAACCATTTCTAGTAAATACAGTGTCAGAGCGAGCGTCATCATTCTTATGAAAGGTTTGGAAGAATGTGCCATAACCATCATTTAACGTTGGAAATTTTACAACTTGCTGATCCAGAACAAATGTTTGTACGAGTTTCTGCAGGAGCTCTTTTGCGTTTTGTCTTAAATAGACGGGAACCCTTATGTACTTTGCTAACATATCATACCAGTAATCCAGTGGGGTGGGATCATGAGAGTTATGGAACGTTATGCCTACATTCACCCCGCGTTTCTGTTATAAACTGGTTGCCAGTCCAATGGTCCTAATTGAGGTGGGTAGGTTTATGATTTAGTCCGACAACTTTTTCAACTGTTCTTCGGATACGTTGTAAAAGTGAGGTTTCTTCTAAATGTAAGAAGATATTATGGAAGAATTTTCATCTAGATGAAGTCTTGGGTGGACACTGAGGGCGGTTTCGAGCAATTTGAGATACAGGGCACCCAATGTTTTGAGGAGAAAATCTAAGACAATATGCTACGTTGGGTGTGGGATTTCATTCGTAGAAGACACCTGGCATATCACATAGAATGGTGACTAAAAGTCTCCCTGCGATGAAGAGTTTAAGACCAAAGTCATACGAAAATGGGAGGTGGGTAGAGAGTAACCATCACTTGGCACTGACATTCTGTATTTTCTAGCCCTAAAAGCAGAAATTTCAGTCGTTCCAGTGGTATATCTTACGAAAATCCCATGAAGAACCAAGGTATCGGAGGGGTATTGTATCTCTCTCCAAATCTGTCTGTATCAAAGGATTGATAGCTGAAGCGGATAAACTTATTTATAAGTCTTTCCATAACCTTTGCAAGGTTATTGGTCTCTGATTGGAAGCTCCACCTCATTACTAACTTTGCATACGAGTACGAATACACTTAAATGATTGTTCGCTCTCGGAAGGATATAGGCAAAGTAGATTTGGACGTCGATTCGGGATTCTGACCAGGTTCGATCTAGGACAGTAGATTTATGTGGGTATGAGCCTCTTATTGCTTCTCTGATTTTTAGAGGTACAAATTTCACAACCAATTAATGCCTATTAGATTCGACAGAACAAATAATTCGTTGATTCAGTTAATCAAGTTTGGGGTTTGAAGGAAAGTTCAAGAGTATTTGCAGAGTCTGGACATACACTATGGGTAGAAATAATGGGTGTGGAATACCTTAACTGGTAGCTTAACCACAGTAGTATAGGATATGTATACTGTTAAAAGGTTCAAATCAAGAATATTCGTGAAGTTATTTAGAAGTTGACTTTTGTCTTCCATGTAATTTATCAGAGGAATCTGACACTTTATTCTACTTCATTTATTTTCTGAGTACGCTTGTCGCAGAATGCAATGGACAGTCCCAAAGAAGAAAAACGGCTATCACTGGATAGATCGGGATATTAGACGTTCACTAAAACAAAAGAAGAAATGTTGGAAAATCACCATTAGCCTTGGCATAGCAAGTACGATGGAACGCTACAGATCGGTACAAAATAAGTGTATAATTAAAATCCAGGAAGCTCAGTGAAAATACAAAATTCAGTTAGCCCAATCTGTGCAGGACTTAGTTTGTCCTGCAGATATACTGCTAGAACTGTAAGCGCAATACTGGAGATCCCATAGTCTACGTGAAAGCCATAGTCAGAACAAGGACAACTTGGCTCTAAATTTTATCCTTTTTAAAGCGTTCAAATAATTCGATCAGTACAATTATCAAATGAATTATAGATAATAAGTGGAACACACAAACATACGCACCAGTACTGCATGTCTTAACGAAATAAGTAAACATTATGAGTCACGCTAATATAATACGATAATAATGTCCTTCAGTTAGCAGGTAATATGCAACAGGGATAGTCTACAGACACATCAGAGCAGATTGACGTGATGGGCTCTTAGACAACGATTTGATTGGTTAGTTATGGACATGACTAACAATCTGAAGCCAAGCTGCCCAAGAGACTATTCTCGTACAGAAATCACAGAACAAGTCAAAAATTGTCTGCCACAGTGGATTTCGTGAATGATTCCACTTTTTACAGAGTTTCTCCATCAAGTGTGACTGTGTTGCTGTTCTCCATGTTGTATTTGAAGATGTCGCTTTTTCGCTTGTGTGTGATGAGACCTACCGCTACAGAGGCTGCTATTACACTAGTTGTCTTCACTAGAATTTGTTCGCGAGTATGAAATAAAAAAACCAGATCATCCTCAAAGTTCAAATCATCTAGTTGCACTCGATCCGTCATTGTATTCCGTGTTTCACCTGAGATATGGAGTTCTTCATAATCCAGTCAGCTACCAGAATAAAGAGAAAGTGGGAGATTCGGCAGATTTGCTCCAAAATTGCTTGACGATTTCCTGGTCGGTCATAGACAGAAAGTAAGAATAAATTCCATGTGCTTCTTCTGGAGACTAGTACTTAGTGGAGTAGCGCGAGGTCCTATCCTTGGTTCTTCAACTTTTATAGTGTGTCTAAATGAACTCAGAAATATATTTGAGCCCGCGATGTTACGTTACGCTGATGATGTAAAAATGTGGTGGGAAATATCAGAAGACACAGACTCATGCCCATTTTAGGAAAACTTAAGAATTATGATTAGCTGATCTAAAAAATTGTTGATGTCTATCAGCTCAGCAAAGTGCGCTTACATGCACTTTGAGGATACTGATGTTGTCACAGGTATTCAGTGTTTGACAACGCTTCTACCAGTAACACCTTCTAATGTATTTCGTTCCCACCCAGAGAAATCAAAAGACAGAGTCGAGGAGATCGGAAGAGTATATTTGGCGATGACCAATATATCGGAATTCTCTGATCTAATCTGGCTAGCGATTGCGGTTGATGTTGAGCACGGCGTTACCACACGTGATCTGGTACGGATGCCTGACCGAGCGCCTTCAGCTAGATGAGTCCACTAAAACATATGGTCAGCATCCAATGTCGAAAACTTAAGGGCTATTTATTTTGGGGATTTATTTACCGCTACAGATCACTCCCCCCCTAGTGGGGCAGTGACGACCCTAAGACGTGGCCAGCCAGAAGTTTAAACCCAACGAGTTTGTCGTTGGTAAACACTCTTCTGATAGCTTACTAAGTGTAGCAGCGTCTGGTCGTCTTTCCTTACTATATGGGACCGAGGTACAACATAGTAAAAAAAGAAAAAGTTACAACGAAAATTTCGACTCCTCGTAAACTGCATCGTTCTTTTCCAGCCGTCCTGGAAAAGAAAAAAGAAATGTAAGTGCATGTCGAAATACACTCGTATGTGCGTAAAAACACAATGTCGGCGAAAAAATGGAAAATATACTCAAGCACACGTAATAGCGTTAAAAAAATTTGTTTTTTGTTTGTTTTTTTAATAAAAATATAAATATATAGGCATATTAAAATTGTTTTTTTAAATATTATATATCGTAAAAAGAAAAATCGAGATAATATAAAATGTCGAGTAGTGCTTTACGTGCAGTAGTCGTTTAAATGTTCTGGAAATCTTACTCTTCTTCCAGAACGCGTCGTTTTAGGTTTATTTTCGGATACATTCGGAGTATCATCGCTAGTGTTGGTTGTCGGTTGAGGAATTATGAGTGTAGGAGTCGTGTTGTGCGATTGTACCGAAGGAAAGTCGACGTGAATAGGATTTCCTTCTAAATACGCTGCTTTTAAGCGATCGATGCTGATGCTATCGTTGGTTCCGTTCTTATCGACTATATAGTACTTAGATTCACGTTGAAGAACTTTGAAAGGTCCTTCGTATGCTGATTCGAATGGTCGTCGATGCGAGTCTCGACGAATGAAAACGTGTGTACTATATCGTAAGTCAGGTTGAACGAAAACATCAGTTGATTGAGGTCGAGTGGAAGCAGGTTTAACTGAACGCATTGCGTTTGTAAGCCTGTTCGTGTAGGAGGTTAGATCCATGTTCATCGAAGAGCACGAAGGATCCACGAATTCTCCTGGAAGTCGAAGTGTCGTTCCATAAACGAGTTGAGCCGCAGTGTATCCAATGTCAGCTTTCACTGCATTGCGGATACCTAGTAAGACGAGTGGAAGAGCGTCGGTCCACTGTGAAACGTTTGCAGCTGATAGCGAAGCTTTCAGTTGTCGGTGAAAACGTTCTACCAACCCGTTTGCTTGTGGGTGGTAGGCGGTCGTTCGGAAGCGAGTGATTCCTAAAAGTGTGGTCAGACGACGGAAAAGATCAGATTCAAACTGACGTCCGCGGTCTGTAGTGATGGTTGAAGGGCAGCCGAAGTTTGCTACCCATCGTTCGACGAATGTGCGGGCCACTGTTTCAGCAGTGATGTCCTTGATAGGTACTGCTTCTGGCCATCGAGTGAAACGGTCTACGCAGGTTAAGAGATAAGAGTATCCATTTGAATCTGGTAAAGGTCCTACCAAATCCAGATGAACATGGTCGAAACGAGCATCGGGAGTTTTAAACGAGCCTAAGGGACATTTATTGTGTCTGATAACCTTAGATTTTTGGCAGCTTACACAGGAGCGTGCCCACTCCCTCACGTCTTTATTCATGCCAGGCCAGCAAAATCGTTCTGCTATAAGCTTGATGGTTGCACGAACACCTGGATGAGAAAGTTTGTGCAATGTATTGAAGACATTGCGTCGATAATGTTTCGGCACGATTGGGCGATCCCTACCTGTAGATGTGTCACAAAGTAAGGTTTCCTTACCTGTTCCCATCTGTTTGATGCGTAGTTTAAGTGTTGTGGACGATAACTCGTGCTGAAGATCAGTGTCTTCTTTTTGAAGCTCGGCGAGTTTAAGAAGGTCGATTCCTTGGAAACTGTTCAAGGAAGTTATGCGAGATAAGGCGTCTGCAACTACATTGTTTGCTCCAGAGATGTGTTGAATATCTGAAGTAAACTGCGAAATGTAGTCCAGTTGTCGAGACTCACGGGGAGAGTACTTGTCAGAAGGAGAGCTTAACGAGAAAGTGAGCGGTTTATGGTCCGTGAAAAGAGTGAATTCACGGCCTTCGATATAGTGTTGGAAATGCCGTACAGCACAATACATAGCTAGGAGTTCCCTACCGAATGTGCTGTACCTCGATTCGGTGTCTAGCAACCTTCTAGAGAAAAATGCCAAGGGTTGCCAGGAGTTGTTAACCCATTGTTGTAAGACTCCTCCGATTGCCGAGTCGGATGCGTCTACTGCGATGCTAATGGGTGCTCGGGTGTCCTGATGTGCGAGCATTGTTGCTTTAGCAATCAGTTCCTTAACTGTGGAGAATGCTTTTCGTGCGGTGTCGTCCAAATTAATGGATTTCGCATTTCCACGAAGTTGGTCGGTCAGAGGTTTCATAAGTAATGCGCATTTGGGTATGAAACGTCTATAGAAACTTACCAGGCCGTTGAACGTGCGTAATTGCTTGACGGTGGTCGGTTCTGGGTAATCCAGAATGGCCGCCACTTTGGTTCTAAGGGGTCGGATACCTTGAGCATCGATAGTGTGTCCCAGAAAGTCTAACGAGTCGGTTCCAAATTGGCATTTCTGAACGTTTACAGTTATGCCATGTTTTTGTAATCGTTCGAAAACAAGGTCCAGATGCTTGAGATGTGTTTCTCTGTCCGGACTTGCGATTAGACAGTCGTCAACATACGCGTGTACGAAGTTGAGACCTCGAAAAACGTCGTCTATGAATCTTTGGAATGTTTGAGCAGCATTCCTTAGACCGAAAGGCATTCGCAAAAATTCATAGAGTCCGAAGGGAGTTATGATAGCTGTTTTCGGTATGTCGTCAGTAGCCATAGGGATTTGGTTATACGCTTTAACCAAGTCGATTTTCGAAAAGACAGTTGTACCTTTCAAGGTAGCTGTCAAATCGTGAATGTGAGGCAACGGGTAACGATCGGGAATGGTTTTCGCGTTCAATCGCCGATAGTCACCAGTTGGACGCCAATCGTTGCTGTCCTTTTTAGGGACCATGTGCAACGGAGATGCATATGGGCTACTTGACGGTCGTATGATTCCTAAGTCCATCATGTGATCGAATTCGTTTTTCGCTAACCTTAGCTTTTCAGGAGCTAGTCGTCGTGCTTTAGAGAATACAGGTGGTCCTGTAGTCGTGATGTGATGTGTAACATTGCTGGTTACACACGGTAGTTTCGGTTGAGTTTGTTGTATCCCAGGGTACTTATCGAGTAGTGGTTGATAGAGTGGGTCTATCATATGTTTAACTGTGACTGGGGATACTCTACAACCAGTAAAAGAAGTTACGCAAACGGACAAATTAGTGTTTCCGTCTACTAGCCTCCGTTTGCGAGTGTCGATGATCAGATTGTGGTGTTGTAGAAGGTCCATACCAATGATTGGCATAGAAACATCTGCAACGACGAAAATCCAGTGGATGGGTTTGCGTAAACCCACGTTAAGGTAAACGTACCTTTTGCCATACGTAGCGATCGGTTTTCCGTTTGCCGCCTGTAAGTTTAGGGTCGATTCGTGAAGTCGGTCGTTAGGATTTGCTGGGAGAACGCTAACTTCTGCGCCAGTGTCGACGAGGTAGCGAACTCTCGTTGTCACATCTGTGACGAATAACAGACGGCTTTGTTCGCCGGCTACGGTTGCCGTTAACGCGTGCCGGCTTGGAAGTTTCCCGAATTGTTTTTCGAATCAGTCGGTTTCGTGTTGGGAAAATTGCAGGGTTTTCTGCAATTTCTGGAAAACTTTCCATACTGGTTATGATACCAGCACCAGTCGGGGTTATCTGTCTCTCGTGGTCTAGAGACAGATCGCTTACGAGAAATGCTTCTACGTGGTGTGCGCGATCTCTTACGGTCGGTACGAAGACTAAGATAACGCGTGAGTGTGTGACATAAGTCGGTTATGTCATTCTGAGTCGTGTGAGGCTTTTCTTTGACTGAAAATACCTCGGTAGTAGAAGGTTTCGTAATTTCTAGAATGCGGTCGGCAGATGCAGCTAGTTCGTCTAAGGCGTTGTTCTGGAACGAGACCAGAACTGCTTGCACCTGTTGGGGAAGTTTTGACAAGAAGAGTTGTTTGAATAGACCTTCGTCGAAAGTTCTTGGGCCTATAACCTCTCTCATCCGTTGCAACATGTCTGTCGCAGAACCGTGTTGCAGGTCGATGTTATTGAAGAGTTGATCTAACCTTTGTCGATCGGTTAGGTCTCCTCGTTTAAGAATCGAGCGTTTTAAGATTTCGTAAGGATCGGAAACATCACTAGTAAACATACTAGGTGTTACGTACCTGTTGAATTCGCGCGGTAGTGCCTTGACTACTGCGAGGAATTGTGCACGTGTGTCGATCACGCCGTGCTCGGAGAAGTCGGCTTCTGCGTAGCAAAACCAGGCTTCGATGTTGTCGGGCCAGAAAGGCATCAGTTGAAACGAAGGTGGGGACAAGGTCTTAAGCTTGAGTACTTTAGGTGTCTGTTCAGTCATGATGAAATATGAAGTACGATAATGAACGAGGGGAAAAATATATATATATCCAAGAAAAAACACGAAAAAAAATCACAATGTTTAAAAAAAATAAAAAATAAGGCAATGATATATAAAAATCCCAAAAAGGAACAGACTCACAGTTGCAATAAGGTGTACCAGATCACGACGGTCTCACCAATGATGATGTCACAGGTATTCAGTGTTTGACAACGCTTCTACCAGTAACACCTTCTAATGTATTTCGTTCCCACCAAGAGAAATCAAAAGACAGAGTCGAGGAGATCGGAAGAGTATATTTGGCGATGACCAATATATCGGAATTCTCTGATCTAATCTGGCTAGCGATTGCGGTTGATGTTGAGCACGGCGTTACCACACGTGATCTGGTGCGGATGCCTGACCGAGCGCCTTCAGCTAGATGAGTCCACTAAAACATATGGTCAGCATCCAATGTCGAAAACTTACAGAGCTATTTATTTTGGGGATTTATTTACCGCTACAATACAAAGGTAAATGGGTACAGCGTAGGGGAAATACCAGCACTCGTAGCCCGGTCTCACAAGGATCTCGGGGTGACGTTGAGTCATGAATTTACGACCACGGTTCACTGCCACGAGGTTGTAGCTGAAAGGTTTAGGACGCTTTGAGCTTCAAAAGATGATTTACGGACTTAGATACTACTGTGTTCACTACGGTATGTACAACCTTGGTGAGAACTAAATTTAAAAACTTCAGACCTCAAGCCCCTGTTTGAAAGCTGACTCGGATATCTTGAAAAATTTACAGAGGGCAGTTATTCGAGCGATTGCAAAACTCCGGGGTTTACCATACGAAGAGCGTTTTGATAAGCTAAATTTCTTTACTCTGTCCTTTCGCAGATTATGAGGTGATCTGATCTTGATGTATATAGTACCAAAGAATGATTTCGAACCTCATAACTCTTCTATTTTTCTTTCTGGTGATTTGGAAAACTCAGAGGTAATAGAAGGCTAGCAGAAAAGTGAAGAACGAACAAGTTACCCATGGCATACAGGTTTTCCCACAGAGTCATAAATTCTAGGAACCTGCTACCTGAAGAAGTGGTGTGCGCACCTTCAGTTGATTCATTCAAGAGAAGACTAGACACTTGCAGAAGCATACTAGAAGAGAAACAACATAGGCTGTAGGCCTTCTGTCTTCACTACAGAAATATGAAAATCTGAATATGTATCATCAGACACCACAACTAAGTAAACGCGGAATCCATTACCTTGACCAAGTGAAGTTGAATGTTTCGCTGATAATTTGCTTATGGTGGAGAACTAAAATAGATTTTCTTCCTGGCATATTATATTTTGGTATTTCTGGTGAAGGGAGTTTTACTTGATAACTGCAAGTGTTTTAATCAGTGAAAGACAGTTGTTACGCGCTAACCAGAGATGGCTGATCGTGAGTGGAAAGTTGCCTGTTCTTTTCATTTTACGTTATAGTTTGTAGTCAACTTGGATAGAAGCTAACTAGTTTGGGGACTGTCTTTTATTTATAAGTTCTGGACTTTTCTGTGTCTCAAGCATTCTACCAGTTGCTGGTCATTTAAGAGATCGTGTGGAACTGGCAATTTTCGTAACGGCTATTCCCCTTTAATTCCAGTCATTCGTAGACTAAATTGCGATCAAATGGCTAAAATAATATGACTGGGCCTCTGTATAACAAACTCGCAATTGTAAACTATGTGGTTTGCCACAAGTGTAATTCAAGCACGGTTAGGCATGCTGAGCTGAACATATCACTGGAGAAGCTCGAAAGCCTAATGGCTCATTTTACTTATTCCTATTACCCTAGTTTCGAGATCAACACCAAGTATGAACAGCCATAACAGCCTATTTCATGTTAAGTGTCCGGGTCCACCGGAAGGAGTTTTCACCCTGTTCGGAACCATTATTTAACTTTGGTCGCGCTCCCGATGTACGAAAAGTAATTGCCAGAGGCCTGTGATGTGTTAGTTCTTTTACCTTAAAAGAAGCTGGATTTCGCAATTGATTCAGTTTTACTGTACGGTGATGTGTCTTAATCGCAACATCCAACCAATAACGTAACAGGTTAGACCGGTTCAAGTACAACAAATGCCTAACGGCATAGCATCCACGTTAGTTGCTTTCTTACTCAAGCAATATATTCCCGTCTTCATATGTTTATCGTGTAGTTGGCTTTAAGAAATTATGGGTGGTTCGAAAGCAAGAAATGAGTTGAGGATTAGAAAGTGAAGTGCAATGATAAAGTCCAGAGGTCGGTGGAAGATGAAGAAGGGATGCATCTGCACCACTGGTCAGTTTTAAGCAGTCAATCGACGCTTCTGATCGCTTAAAGCAATCTCGCGTACTACGGTCCTCCTAACCAACGACTGCATATTTATCTGTAGCAGAGATCAAGTGTCGGATTCCTTCAAAAATGTGTGATGCTGAGGTTATTCTGGAGTTAGTATTTTCTTGAGTGACGAACTGAGTAAATGATACCAGTTCTGATGTCCTTCGACCTACGACTCTAGCGATCAGTCGACGTAGAGTTAATGTTCCCATATTCCATTCACTCTTTCTGGACATTTTCTTGGTTAGTTCTCCATGACCCTTGACATCACTATCTCTACTCGTTAAATTCTTTTGTTTCGGCATGTGAGCTTGGGCTCGCAGACATCGGGGTCGAGGTTAACTACTTGGGTCATGGCTTTAATATATAATCCTCTTGTTACTGTTTACTTGTTTTAGTATGTAATGCATTTCTAACTATAGTTCCTACTTCAGTTCGACCGGTCTTATTTCATGCATTCCCAGTTGCACCTGTGGTTTTTCGCCTGAGGTGTGCTATTTTAAATACGCCTTTCACATGACAAGTCAGTCTTCTGGTGTTTGAACACGAGAAGCCCTTTCCAAAATGTATTTCTATCTCTAGTGCTGTCCGAAGTACAAGGGCGGCTAGTACTTTATGGTTGCTTGTTTTGTGGGTAGGTATTTTCGAATTACCTGAATAAGGTGAGTAGTACTTGTACCAATCGAGGAGCATTTAACAAGGCCCAGAGGAAGACGATAGAAGGCTAATCACACGACCTTTGTGAGTTTTTGTTGACGCCGTACTCCGGAAAGCCCAACCACCGGAGACGGCAATCCCTGAAATAAAGTGAAGGATGAAATATTTAGGATCAATCCTCCTTGACACTAACTTACCGTTCTGAGAATGCAGTACCGCTGTAGATATTGGTTGCCTAAATGGAACACCTTACTGATTGTTGTAATAAATAAGGATTATCTCAAACTTCCCTTCAGATGAGTCAGGTCAGTTGGCTTGAAAAACGTTGAATAAAGCTAAATCTTCAAAGTAAATAGATTAACTTACCATTTAAATGCAGTTGCATGTGCTTTTTGTTCTATATGTCTTACGTTATTAACCGGTAAGTAACCTAAGACTTGGTTTGCCGAAATGAATTTCCACTTTTATTTGTTGACCAAAATGCAAGTTTATATGTCCTTTTCTTGCTTTTAGAGTTCGCTTATGCTAACATGCAACAGGCTAGCCAAGCTGGCTACCCTCCCTTCCACTATCCAACAGCAAGTGATCAAAACGCACAGTTGCTTCAAGGCTATGCGCTTTCTCAACAAGGAAACCCAGCTGCTGGAGTTCCAGGCTCTATGTTTGGGGCTCAGTCAGCTGCTTCATATAATTTTGACCAAACAGGTTCTGCTTACAACCAAACCTCTTCGATTCCCGTATGTCAGGTAGACGGTTCACAAGTCCCTATGCAACCCGGTTTGTTTGATAACTTGTTGTTTATACTTTTCAGCTGCCGGAGGCTTTGCTTACCCTAATTTCTCTGGGTCATTCAATCAGTATCCTGGAATGGCGCAAGGGATGCCTCCTGGATTGTCAGCTGTCCAAGCAGGCTTCAGTACCGGTACTGCACTATAACCTTTTCTTATTTTTAAAGATATGCAACAGTTTGGGCCACTCATGGCTAATGCTTTTGGGCAAACGATGTCTGCCAATGGAGCGATTTTAGAGGCCATAGCTCACGAACAAGGACTTGCAGGTTAGATTTTCTTAACAATGTGGGATTTCTGAATTCCAGGTTTTAATCCAGTCGCTTTCCTCCAAGACCCAACTGGCACGAACACTCGCGGTGGATTGGGCTCTGGAAGAGGCAGCAGGTATGTTAAATCCGAAATCTTTGGTACATCTGAATATCGAACGGTGTTTTGAGTTTTGATCGAAATTTTTGAGTGTCTCCCAATCAGTCGCGTATTTGGTTCAATTTGAGTGGGAGCTGTGTTTTTCGTCAGTGTTTTGGGTAACTTTATTGGTAATTACCAGTCAATGGTTTTATGGTATATGTGTGAGTCTTGGTATTTTTGGCTCCCCACTTTAATATTTTTTTTACAGAAGCAAGTTGTCTTCTGGTGTTTTTGTGTTTTCACTATTTTGAATTTAACGAAGATTAGTGTTTTTCAGCCAAAGAGGTGGATATAACAAGTTTGGCGGTAAGTGATTTACAGTGAATTTTCCAAATTTGATAGCTGAAAACTCAGCAGCTTTTATATGAGTCATCATATTTCTCGTCCTACTTTTTTAGGTTCTCGATCGGGTTCCAACTTGCCCAGTGTCACTAATCGTAAGTCATTCATTCATAAAGTAAAACCGATTGTTCAGCTGATGGACTCCGGGAGGATACAATTTTTGTCAGTAATCTGCCTCAAAATATTGATCACGATGTAATGAAGTCTCAATTCGGTGTCGTCGGGAAAATCAAGGTATCTATTTACAGTAATGGTAACTCACGATATAGATCAATTCCAAAAGCGGTATGCCCATGATATGGATATTTAAAGAAAAAGGTATACCTAAAGGCGAAGCGCTTGTAACTTATGAAGATCCAAGTTGTGTCCAATCGGCTATTCAGTGGTTTAAAGGTATTTTCCTAAAATGGTTTACTTCAACATTTCCCGATATGTTTCACTTGTCGTTACTGCTTGTTTTTTATTTTGTGTTTCTACTAGAGCATGAGTTTTTGGGAAGGAAGATTGAAGTCAAACAAGCTATTAACAGCCAAAGACCAGTTATTATCCCTCCTGGGGGAGGTGGTTTGCTGGGAGGAAATGGAAATGGACCAAACAATCCTGCTGCTGCTCTGGCTGTTGCAGCTGTGGCTGCGGCTGCCAGCGGGAACACTGTTGCCAGTTTGATGAATAACAGTGCGGCTGCTGCGGCCAGCCTTGCTGCTCTTACAGCGAACAACCCTCAGCTGGCTGCCCACTTTGATTCCAAGGAGTATCCAGGTATGGGTCGCGGGGCAAGCACAGCCTCTCGAGGTGCCCGTGGAGCAATTACCAATGGTTCTTCTGTACGACCTAGCGTCGGTTCGGCTCAAGCAGGTTCAAGGGAAGGTGACTGGAGCTGTCCACAGTGTGGTAATATCAACTTTTCATGGCGAGAACAATGTAATAGGTGCCAGGTAGGTTTTTTCATAGTTTTTTTGTATTTAAACAGTATGTAGTCATCAAATACGTTTTAATGCGTGAGGCCACTTCATTCTAAAGTATTTCAATTTATACTTGAGGTTCTGTGTGAAATAAACGTTGTTGCAATCTTGGTTATTATTTTGTTTCCTTAAATATTTTCTCTTATTTCGGTATTTCGTTTAAAAATGTAGATCAGTGTATGTACAGATACGGAAAATTAAGCACTACTAACGACTTGATAGGAAAGATAAGAGTTACATAGACTCATATCTTTCGTTGAGCATGCTGGTATGTAAAAGCAGCAGTGAAACTAATCACGACAACTTTGATACCCTTATGTCAAACAAAACGTTTTTAGAGTTTGAAGCATTATTTACGAATCGTAGCTGTCTTATAATAACACTAACGGTTCGTTAAAACTGTCGTTGTTGTAATAGGAGTTTAAACTACCTTTTCAGTAAGTGAACCCCTTTTTCGTTGACGTCTTAAGTCTCAGTCTTGAATGAGTAGGTTGCCGACTTGTAAATAAATCACATGGTTTGAGGACTATATCATCACAGATGATAACAGATATCGACCTTGCTTGAGCTGTATTTATTTGATTCGTGCACTAATTTTACTGTTGGAAGTAAGAAATTTTGTCATCGATGTTTCCAGATTTAATTCATAAACTATGTATTCAGCTTTACAACCAACCTCATTTGTAAATACTGATGTAATTTCTCGGGTAAGTTACGACTTAAAAGTATTTATTTATAATATAAACTTTATCACTGGGATGGTTATGTACGTCATTTTTCTACGTTTCATTTTCATTTTAAAGATTTTTGCCAACCACATCGCTCAAAATTCTTGCTATCTCATTTTGTTTATCGACAACTCATCTGATCACCATTTTTAATCACTGTAATCGTTGTATTTAATTTTCAGTCAACTCGTTCAGGCGATGGATCTAGTAATCCTGATACGAATTCTAGAAATAACTTGAATGCAACTAGTCGAAGTGCTCAACCACCTGCTGCAGTTATGAATTCCAGTTCTCAACAGAGCAATCCTGGATTTGGACGAGGCGGGGCAATGAATCCTACTTCAGGTGCCAATCGAGGTGGTCGAGGTGGTGGTCCCATGCGTGGAAGTAGTGTTGGAACAGGTCGGGCACGTCCAGCGCCTTATTAAGCCATCTAAATTTGCCATTGTAGGAAATTTCTTGAAATATGCTTTCATGATGCATTTCAGGTCTCTGCAATTAGTGTCTTTGTTGTCTCACTAACTGGATGGTTTGTGAAATATTGTATTTGAACTATGTAATTATGGTCATATAACTCAATAATTGTTATATGCTCTACTCCGGCTTAGTTAATTTTTGATTTCGAATTTGCGGCGTAATTCCAGGCAACTTAAGACCAGTTATTCTACGTAAATGATAAAAGGAATTTTGTAGAAACCAAGAATCTCGTATTACAATTAACTTGAAGAAAACAAAATGAAGTATGCTCAGTTCTTGTCTAGTCAGGACTAGTAGCGGTTGTAGTGTTAGTCTGAAGTACTAAGGCCGGGATGCAAGAAAATATTTCGTCGGATTTTCTGATAGTTAGGTCCTTTGACTAAACTTTACCTAGCCGATTCCAGTAAAGACATACAGCTTTTGTTTTTATAGTAATTGTGAACAGCAAGTGGTTTCTAAGATTCGTTTGTTTAAGAAATTGCTTATTAGAATGTCACATTTCCGCACTTAAATTCAGTCCATTTCATCATACGAACTGCGAGTAATGACAATGCTACAATAAAGTTCTTGTTCTTTTTGTGAATTCACTCTAGTCGACTATATATAATTATTTTTATGGAGTTACTTTCTGTGTACTAACTACAAGATTGAACTCTTAATTGGGTGTTCGTACTAGGATCTATAAATTACCTCAAATTTTAAATTAAAGAGATGACTGGATTTTCTAATGGGTTAAGTTTCAGATGTTACCATTATTTCACGCGTGATATATGAATTCAGAGATACCTCTCAGTTGGTTACTTTCGTGTAAGAGCAGTTGGTTATTATACGTGTCATCAATTTTGAGTTAGAATATTAATTCTGTATGAAATTGCTAAGTAACGGTATCGAATAGACAGGTAGATGGTTTTCAGTGTTTTTGTACAGTTAATTCCCGTTGTCTGATCGGGGTAATAATTTCAGTATTTGTAGCATTTATAAAAAATAACCGTAGAAATAGTGATTTAGGTGTCTGTCGAATATTGTAAGACGTTCAGCAAAGTTATTAAGATTGTTTTCGTGAGTATTACCGCATACAACTGAGCTTTATTCTGATTCTCATCACTTCAAATGGCTTACTTCCGTACTATCTTTTGTTACTATGATCGTTTGTTCTATGGTCACTATTAATAGTATGGTCTGACCTGACAATAACTTTCACAAGTGAAGTGCTTTTTGATATTTCTGAGCAAATTCTTCACATTACTTGCCTGACTGAAAGGGGATCGTACTAACTGTATTTTTGATGCCAGGAAATTTACCAGTTGGAGAATGGGAAAAGCAAACTAAACGGAGTTTAGTTTTCTTGGTCGTTCAGTTTATCTATCACGACATCCATAATAAAGATGCTTATTTGCACTGAAAAAATGTAAGAGGCGCTACATTTCAGGACTCAGAGTTTTAGTGGCACTCAGTTTGTCACGTCTCTTTTAGCGACTGACAGCAGTTGCACGTTCGTTATCCCTCTAGAGAAATAATTTTCAGTTTAATCTGCTTCAGAGCAGTTTTTGTTGTAACCAATAAACTGACGACGACCTGACATCCTACTCAAATATAAACAACTTGAGTGCAAGTCTTCAATAATTAGAAGTGGATAAACAATTACACGTGTAAGTAACGTATACTTAAGTGTTAATAGGTTTTCATATTCGGCAATCATGAATAAGCGTTGTTTGGTTAGTTTGTTGGTTGGCAAAACACAAACTGAGTAGGATTCACTGCTTTTTGGTCCGATATTAGTACACTGGGTTGGGTTTTTGGTCGACTTAGTTTCTGGAGGTTAGTGCTATTTTGATTGCTTTCATATAACTGGTTTTTCCACACATTGTGTAAGTGATTTAGTTGACTTGTGAAACTCCAACCGATTAAATTGACAGTGCTTTCAGGTTTTCCATGGTGGTCTAGCTTTAATCGACTCATGATCTTAACTATTGAAATTACTACTATCTCCACAAAACCCCTTCTGATAAAAATCATTAAGTGTTTGAATTAATTAAAAAGGCATTTAAAATAGTCATTTTAATGAATAATATAATACTTATAACTGTTATCACCTTCAACTTCTTATAAACCACTTAGTCTTATTATAAGATTATACAATTCACTGATTACGTGTTCACTTATATCACTCATATTATTGACCTTCTCTAATCAATAATACAAATGGACTACCACTGATTTCAATTACCACACTCAGTTTATTTTATTTCAAATAACCAATCAGGAGACGAAGACAGCAGTTCAACATACATTATATTATTATAACTCGTAAACTGATAAAGTAATTATGTGGTCCCACTCCATCACCAATTGGAAATAATTTGTGCAATAGGTGCATAATTAATTAATATATTAAGAATGATAAAACCGCTATCACTGGGTAGTAAGCCCAATGAAATCTTGTAAATTAAGATAACATAAAAGTATCAGTCCAATTATCGCAGTTATACAATTAAAATAGATTTTAAAGTGTAATGGACGAAGACTTGAATAAGGGTTAACCAATCAGTTGTATCATGCTGACTCACACACTGCATTCGTAAAATATGGAAACAATCATCGTCAGTCACGTCAGCTACAACGTAGGACCAGGCACATATATGCATCGGTCCAAGTTGCCGTACCTCATTAACACAACAAGATGGACACCGGATTCATATAAGTGGTTAATTCAGAGGTGGTAATATATAAAAGAAAGATTGCATATAAGGACATAGTACAGGAAGAAAGAATTAGTTCGTAGAAAGAAAGATATGAAGCGATTTTAATCTCATAGTTTAAGAGAAGACGGGGAGTGTATACACCGACGCCATTGTGATCGATCCTGGGCCATGTCACCAAGAGTCCAACCATTGGTTACGATAGTCACGCGGACCCCAACCAAGTAGTCTGCATCTACCAACATGGCTCAGACTAGAAGTTAGTGACTTCAAGCACTAGTGCCACGTTTTGGTTTAGCCGCCCCTAACCTTCTTCCAACCATCTCCAACACCGGTTAGCATTGCACGTCGTGGTAATCGGTGTTTAGGCAATACGTAACACGTGGCCCAACCGTCTCAGTCGATGAAGATTAACAATACATTGAATAAACCATTTGAATATATCCCTTGAATCATCTACTACAAAATTCATCGTTCTTCCATTCCTGATGCTAACCGGACCACTTCTGCTATTCGTCATTTTCCTCTTCTTTCAATAAGAATCCTACTTCCAATCTCCGATATATATATATATATATATATATATATATATATATATATATCCGTATGAGTAGCACAAACCATAAATGTGTCACCTTTTCCAAATATCCTACCCTATCTAACAACAACAAAAAGTGAAAAGAAGTTGAATTTACTTCAAGAAACAGAACGAGCTAAATCGATGGTAGTATTAGGTATTATTTTCTCATTTTTTCTTAATGGTGAAGGTTCTTTTTGAAAATAAACGTGTGATTATAATTTTTAAGAATAGATAAAAGAGTTTTAGTCGTTTATGTAACATCAGAAAATATTTGTTATTCATAATGAGATTTAAAATTGTTTAGTTTTTTGGTTATTTCAGTTTTCTAGGTTTCAGTATATCACATCAGAGTCATTTCAACATTAACTATACATTCTTTGTTTATTTCTTCATTAATTTGATTTATGAGAAAACTAGTGTTTTAAAGTCACATTATAAGAAAAGTAGAAAGTTGGCATACTGAAGTTTGATTAAAATTCTTTGGAAAATTATTCTGATAAAATTATTAACCCTAGATAGGACCAGGAGAGGAGCTGATGTAGCTTTAGATCACCACCTGGTTGTGGCCAAGATGAAACTGTAGCAAAATATGCAATGAATAACTAGACAATGGTTTAATAAAGCCTTCCCTTGACATACTGACAAACTCAACCAATTCAAAATAACTCTCAACAACAGGTTCTGAACACTACAAGATCTATTCAAAGAAGATTAAACTAATATGCAGGACAACTGAAAAGGGATCAAAGAAGCACTAAATTTAACGTGTCAAGAGGTGATGGGACCACACAAACATCTTCATAAGGAGTGGATCTCTATGGAAACCCTGGACAAGTTTGAAGAAAAGAAGAACAAGAAGACAGCAGATAACAGCATCCAAACAAGAACAGAGAAAGTCGAGGAGCAGGCCGAATACAAAGAAATAAACAAGTAAGTGAAGAAAGAGCATTAGAGCCGACATACAAAAATACGTGGAAGACCTAGCAGCGACAGAAGAAGCTTCAAGAGAAGAAAATATGGGACAGCTATATGACACAACGAAGAAACTTGTAGGAAGATATATTAAAGCAGAGAGACCGGTCAAGATCAAAGATGGTAAGACAATGACTGAGATTCATGAACAGAGGAACAGACGGGTGGAATATTTCGAGGAACTCTTGAATAGACCAGCTCCATTGAATCCACTGGACATCGAAGCAGCACCTACAGACATTCCTATACATATCACTCTGCCAACGATCGAAGAAATCAGGATGGCTATCAGACAAATGAAGAATGGGAATTTAGCAGGACCTGACAATGTATAGGCAAACACACTCATGTCAGACACGGAGGCAACTCAAAAATGTTAAACCTTCTATACAGGAAAATGTAGGAGGGAGAGCAATTGCAACAGATAGACTGGGAAAGAAGGACACCTCAATGACGTACCTAAGAAACGAGATCTGAGCAAATGTTAGAAATACTGAGGCATCACACTATCGAACTTACTTTACAAAGGAATCTTTCACGTACTTTGAAAGCATCATCGATGAACACGGAGATGTGATGCAGATATGAAGGCACGGATTGGCAAAGTTAGGGTAGCATCCCCACAGTTGAATAACCTATGCAACTCAAAACAACTGTCAACCAATATCATAGTCATGATCTAAAGTACGAACCAATAGTGCACATGGGATCCAGGATCCTGAGGGAACAAATGGCGAATGAATCACTTACTGGTTATCCTCTACCATGGGGACTTCCACTCCTGACATTGCTCGACTGCTTTTTGGATCAGACCCTTAGGTCAAATGCTCGGGATGTAGTCCCCTAAGAAAACCACCTGCTTTGGTTTGGGCACCCGGGCAGTATTACAGCCCACACACAAATCAAGTGACTTGTGTCGCGCATATTTATGTTTTCAAATAAATAAATAAAATATTATGTACTTCACTTGAAATACTAATCAGTATATTATAATCTTGAAAGAACTGTTGCTTCCTGACGGATTCGATCTCGTATCACCCAGCTTCACAGTCAGAGACGTTACCATTGATCTATAAAGAGA